AATCTCTACGGCAATATTTTTGCGGCCATCGGTTCCGTCAATGAAACAGACACTGGCAGTGAAGAGTCGTTCGCATTCGGACCGACAGCTGTTGTCAAAGCGAGTCAAGTGTTTTACAGGACCGCTCATACCATAGCATTCGTCAATCATAGACCTATTCTTGCCGGTCATGTATTGGTCTCTTCGATCAGAGCAGCGAAACGACTACAAGAACTTAATGAGGAAGAGATAAGGGATTTGTTTTGTACGGTTCAAAAGGTTCAGAAAGCGGTTGAATCAGAATTCGGTGCCAACGCGTCGACAATTGCCATTCAGGACGGCGTCGATGCCGGACAGTCTATAGAGCACATCCACGCACACGTAATACCGCGCAAACCGACTGATTTCGGTGGTAATATCGACCAAATCTATTCCGAACTTCAAAAACATGATAAATCAGAACATATATCCAAAACCAAACTCAGAACCGACGAAGAGATGCTTTTGGAGTCAACGAAACTCAAGACTTATTTTTAGATTACTTTAATATTTTAATAAATGAATTTATTTAGCGTTGATTTTTGATGAAATGATAATAGGGTTTGATTTACAGTTGGGTTCGTGTTTTTCAAGTCTATCCGATAAGAACTTTCGGTTGCATTTTCTGCACGAAACCAATTGACTCTTGAAGTGTTCCCACGCAGTCATCATATCGTTCCCATTCTCTCCCTTTCCTACATTACAATCATTGCAAGCATTTTATTATTTTGTTTCAATGCATTCAAATTCAGTTGTGACTCAATTTCTCTCTAACCTGTACTCAATCTTTTGTTGTTATTGTTGACTCTGGTGTCCAATCGGCACTTGATTTCATGTAGAGTTAAAGAAGTAGTACTGTATCGACGACCGCAAGTGTTACACTCGAGGAATGTATGATTTGTCCGACTGTTGGCATTATATTCAGTGTTGGGTTTTGGGGCCGTTTGCACGCATTGTCCTCCAATTCCAATGCCTCTACAACTCCTCTCATGAATGGCCAGTCGATGGGGAAAGAATGTGCGGAAGCAATGACAACACGGAATTAGTTGCGATTCAAAGTGTTTCCAAACCTCGCTGTCATAATCCGCTGTCATGTCATCCTTTGTTTCATTTTTACTTTTTGTTGTCTAATAGTATATTGAGTTAAAGATAATATGGAAATATAAATTAAATTGTTTAGAAAGTTATGATTGATAAAAAAACACCAATTTTATGAACAAATAATTAGAGCACATATTTTAAATGTTTAAAAATTAAATACCTTTTCTTCATTGGTTTGTTTTCTTACGGGACGACTCGAGTGGACAATTCTTGGTATAGTTTTTAATTGAAAACTACTCTTAAATGTTGATTCATTGGATCCGTTCTTTGATTTTTTTGTATTTTCGGACATAATTATGTCTTTTGGCTCTTTAATGGCTTTGATTTCATTTTCATTACGATTTCGCTTTAAAAGCACCACTTTATTAGTTGTGAACAACTTCTGGTCACTAAATTTATTGTGAGATATAGTAGTAGTTTTATATTGTGGACCAGTTGTCGACAAGAAGTTGTTTTTCATTTGATGTGATTTTAAATTAACACTCTTTGATGGAGTTGTTTGACATTTGCCTATCATTTCAGTGCATTCTTTAACTCCAGAATCGCATTCTTTGTGTGTTTTATCGCCAATAATAGGATGAATAACATTAGGCGTCGGCCGTTCCAGTCGTTTTGTTCGGGGCCTCTCTTTCTGATCCATTAATAAGTTTTTAACCACAAGTTATTTATTATTTGATTAATATTATTGAAGAACTTTCTAAAGAATAGTTTAATTTTACAAAAGAAATTATTGATTTAATTATTGTTTTGACTACTATTTACTCACTCATTGCACTTTAAGTATTGTCATATAATATTATTTTTATAATTATCGATATAATATATCATTAAATTTTTATTTAAATTACATTTGCAATAAAATTTTGAGATATTTTTTAGATTAAGAAAATGTCAACAGAATTTTCACTAGAAAATGATAACTCATTTCAAGTTTACTGCAGAATAATATCATTTATTAGTAAAACACAAAACCAGTGAATCATATGAGAGTACAGAATATATTGTTTTCATATGAAATGAATTTTCGATTTTCCAATCGTCTCCACAGAAACTGATTTGCATATAACTTGTATTATAATAATAAGTTATAATAACATTAATTGTTTGCCAGAATATCGTGTATGCGCTCAACCAATGTTAAGGTCGTGTATTTATGGGACAATCAATGATCTCATACTATATTCAATAGTTTAATGTGTGCTAAAATTTCAGCCAAATCTCATAAAACGATTGATTTTTGCAATTAAATTAAACCAAATAATTAATGTTACGCTTTCTGTCATATATTTGATTCATTTGGATAAATCATTTGCATTTAATTACATACTTGTTTCCATTAATGACTTTTTCTAATAATTATGAATATATTTTGGGATTAAATGAATAAAAATATATAATTTTCTAACTTTATTACCATATTTATTAGGACAACGAATATTATTTTAATTACTTAAATTTTTCCTAAATAAGTTACAATATATAAATTACCCAAATTCCAGTTTGATACCACAAGGTGTTCGTCATTTTTAGTAATTGTTCATTAATTTTTAGTTTTTTCAAACAAGTGATGTGAGAACTAATCAAGATTTTAGTGAATTATACTAAAATGTTATACTATAGTATTTAAAATCTTGTTTGGTTTTTTAAAAAATTTCATTTGTTCATTTCTGAATGTGTCCATTTATTTTATGGTAAAATGGAAATTGCACACTTTTTATTCAATAAAAATAGTGTAATTCAATGCAGAATAGTTGAAGTTTGTAATTTGGAGGCAAACCATTCTCGCATAAACCATGGCATACAGTTTGAATATTAGGGTATAAAATGTACAGTAATATTAATATTTTAGAAATAAGTTAATTAAAGACAATTAAATAAATTACTATCATATAACTAATTTAAACAAAAATTAATAACCTTATTGGAATAACAATGAATTTAAATAGTATAAACCAATTATTTTATCAATTTACTAGCTGTGACCCAAAAGAATATCATTTAGACTTGACATGATCATTTTAGCCATATTCCAAATTACATGTAAAGTACTTACAATAGTTATGTAACAGAACTTATGTTTACTCTTTATTGATAGTCAAATAGTAAGGAGTGTTTTGTGAATAAACTGATAGTTGCAGCTATTTTATTGATCGCATAATAATAAATAAATTTACAATAAATAAATTTCACAATACATGTAGATTCGTGTAAAGATATATCAAATATATAAAAATATAGAACTTGTAATACCGTATTAATATATTATTTAATAAAGTACAGTATATAAAATGCATTAGATTTTATTATTACCGTAATATTAATATATCGTTAACTTATTTGTAACTATTATCAGACAAAACTTAATTCTTTATAAATTGTATGAATTATAAAATGTTAAAAATGTTATTATTATAAACAGAATATTAATATAATGTATAAACAAATACAAAATTTTGCGGTAAAAACAATAAGTAGTTATAAAACAATAAAGAGATCAAAAATTATGAGATAATTTGATTTATAATTGTATAAAATTTAATTAAAAATCAATGTTTTAAAAAAGAGATCGTTTAATATAAATGCCAAACGCTATACAACCCAATATAGCGCACGCAGTGATGGCCAGTCGCGGCACATAAGAGCCCAATACTATTTCCTATACAAACAATCAATATTTAGTAAATCAATGAAATAGTTCTAAGAGACAGACACGACATACCCATCCGCCGTGTTTTTGAACCCAAAGACAAATGTTGTTAAATATATAGCTTAATGACCATTGAATGAGTCGTTTAAAGTAACCGATCGGTCCGTTTGTGAACGCATTCACCGCCAGATCTGAGCAAAAGAAGAAAAGGACAACAATTCGTTCCCGACTTATAGTTCCGTTGAGAAAGAGTTCACTCAATAATGAATTGAACTCTTCTTTCGTTAAGTCTCTTAAATTAATCTAAAAGTTATAATCAATGGAAACAATATTAGCTTTGAATTGACAATCAATGAAAACATTGAATACAAATAATAGTCACCCGAAAAGCCTTTTCCCTGACTTCAGCCCTTTCGGCACTTCTGGCAAACGATTCCGATATTCTTCGGAGATCTCGTCCGACGGAAACCATAACATGAGATGAAATGTTATAACCATTTGATAAACTAAACGAACTAACCATTGGTTAACTCAAGTCAACAACAAACCAATTGTTCACTTCAATCACTACCTGTACTCTTGGATCTGTTGTTGGATAATATGGTTGTCTTCGGTGATAATGCCCTCCGCTATGAAGCGATCTCTTGTGAATTGAGTGAACAGTTCTCGGGCCACGGCTTCCGTCTCATCGAGCGATGGCTCGCATTTAATGGCCATTTGAGTCACACTTTCACTGATGTCTTCACTCAACTGGTCATCAAATGTGGTGTCAATGTTGTTGTCGTTGTTGTCGTTGCTGTCAATGCATTCAAATTACTTTTTTAAATCCAATCACTTTTGTTTGTAAACAATTAGCACTAAAAATGAACAAATGATGAAATGCTTTGTCTCCAACTCAGGGGTCGTTCACATAAAGTGTGCCTCAATTGCGGAGGCGTTGACCTATCGATCCCTCGGACCTCTCAATGGGTGAGAGAGTCATACAGTTTTGGGTGTTTTTTATCGGAGATTACGCGGCCGTAACTCTTCGTTACACTCCGTGTGGTATTATATGGGCTATGAATGTGCGGTCATTGCTTGCAATGTTGTAAATGAGTTGTTATTGAAGATCGCATTGAAGTGTACTTCTTGTCAAGTGCTTTGGCCGGCGCTAAACGTGACAAACAATTGTAACAAAACTTTATTAAATATACATTCAAATTTTGAATTTCAAACACAATGAGGGCTCAAATTAGAGAAATGGGTGCAATCGGTGATCACATTTGTAGCAATAGTAGGGATAGTTTACGGTACAGGTATTTAGGTGAAAAAGACCATGGTCAATGGGCCAACTTAATAAACCATAATGCTAGTTTACAAAAGTAAACATATGACTGTGAATACAAGTGTTGGGCACTTTTTAACGCCAATGTTAACCTAACCAAATGGGTTTGTTTCAAACTATAGACACTTTTTCACAAAGTTAGCGCTATTATAGTTAAAGTTTATAAGAGATTCAAAAATTAATCATTATAGCCATCATTTCAGATTACTTGTACTATTTCAGCAAAATTATTTAACAATAGTAAATTATTTGTAAAATCTTTACCACTATAACTACCGGTACATCACAAATCTATTAAAATCATGAATTTTATAATACATTATTATAACATTACATAACATTAAAAAGTATTTCTTGAAAGTTCTTAAAAGTATGATTCTTAAAATTGATCATCATACTTTAATAAATTGCTACTAAATTGTTATATAAAATTTGCTTGACAGAATGTACTGACTTATTAGTGTATAGAATGTGTGATTTGCATTTGATCAATTGTTCCTATATCACATTGTTCATTCTTAATATTAGACACTTTTGGAAAGATTTTGGTATTTTCTTAATATCCCCCCAGCCCCCACCCTATAGGGTTTAACATAATATCCCCCCCCCCCCAAAAAAAATATATAGAAATTTCTGGGAAAATATAAATTTTGAAGGAACTAATGTATTTATAAATGCTAATTAAGTCCAAATATTTCGCGCCATTTTAGGTTTTGTTTAAAAAATAATTCAAAATTAATTAAAACAATTAAATAAATTTAACAAAATTAATATTAAAATAAATTAAGATTAATATGTTTAACTAGATTGAGATACATGTATACAGTTAGAACAAGGCTCACACAGCGATGCTATAATTCGGGTGATGCATAGGATTAGCATTGTCCATAGGATTAGCATTAGTCCTATAGACTTAACATTGCCATAAATTCAGCACTGTCATAGACTCAACATTGCCCATAGAGTTATCATTGTCCATAGATTTATCACTACTACATGCATTCGTCCCACGATTAGATTTGCCATAGACTTAGCATTACCCATGTTAAAGTATAGCCGTAGACTTATGCTGTAATCCAATGTTAAACCCTATAGGGTGGGGGCTGGGGGGAGGGGCAGAACGATCCTATACACCACATTATTCATATCTGAATTGTGATTAAAAACTATTTATATACATCAACTGTTCATCGTTTGACCATAATTTATCTTATTTTCCCTGTTTTCAGAAATATAAAATATATGTCCTCCCAAAAATATATTCCGGGAATCTATTTGACCGAAAGGGGAATTGTGTCTACACTTATTAATTGTAAAGTACAGCGCCTTTTCAATACAGTATGAGTGAACTGTAAGTACTGTTTGGCGCGCATATAGTGTTACATAACATCTGGGGTTTGCAATACTGAATGCAATACTTTCAGGCAATAGGGGTTGTGGTGTGTAGTGGAGAGTGAGTGCCATCTGTGGAGTGTTTGTGTCGTAATAATCGACAATCGATTAGTGGAGCAAAAATCGCAAATTCTTTGTTTGTTTCGCGTATTGGTTGGGAATTATGGTTGAAAAGAATGGCGATTCAGTACTGATTGCATTGCCTGTGCTTTCCGGCAGACATTCGCTACACTCATACGCGTGAAGACAACAACACCGACACTACCGACACATCCCATACACACCAGCCATACATGCCGTCAGTGTTGGCCTAATCGACGCATTCATTGAGGTATGCATTGAATGAGTGTTTGTGTTGTGAATGTGTTTAAGGCGTTCATGAAGTGTAGCCACCATTGAAATGGTGTTTCTCATGCCATACACTAAACACTGTTCAATACAACCATACAATCAATAGTACCTGTAGTGACACACTATGACATAAACATCATTATTACCATTACTATGATTACTATACTATTAATACTATAACCATTACTAACTAATACTATTACTATCACTCCAACTGTC